TCGGGGAGACGGTGGTCTGACGTGCTCGCCTTCAAGATATCGGGTGCTGCCGTGGGCACCCGTTCCATTTATGCATGCCATCAACCCGTCTGCCGCGCTGGTCTTGTCATTCGACAAGACCGCGCCTGGTGAGGAGTCAGATTGAGACGAGGTGTAGCACACGAACGAGAAAAGAATAGGCCTCCAGTGTTTATGGTAATCAGGGTTGACATAGCTGAGCAACGTAGCAGTGGGTCAGGGTGCAGGAGAGCAGTTGCTGACCTTACTGGCAAATGTTCATTATATCGTGCTTACATCCCTGCTGCCACGCAGCAGCGTCTGATGGATCCATTCATCCCTCATAGGCAGCACAGACAGTCTTGTAAGCTTCACAATGCATAGAAGGGTATAGATCCTCATCAATGAAATTGAAGATACTCACGAATCTTCGGGTATGCATTGCTTACAGATTTTCCCTAGAATGTTGTGTGGCGGCACCGACGACTGAGTAATCACCTTACACGACTGACCATAGTTCAAAATGTGCATCTTCTTTCCCATGAACAGCATCTTCGATTCCCTTAGTAAATACATCTGAGATCGAAGAGAAATGGCACTCACAACGGCTCAAAGAGATCATCTCACTCTCAGGTGCAACAGAAACCATCACTTCCGGGCCATCTCCGAATCCGCAACGCTCAGGGTTTACGGAAAAGATGCAAACTGCGACGAAGAATTGGTGGGTATCAGCACGTCGAATTACGAAAGAGGAAGATTTCTGCAGAGGATTAGAGGTAGATGTCCTCCGACACAGTGCGTTATGTAGCGCATCGACTCAAGATATCTCCGCGCAACTTTGACAACGAACTGGCAGTAGACCGCCCACAAACATCACGCACGTACCATACGTATTACACGCTCATGCTGGTGCGGTGCCCCAGCTCTTCTGCTCCCATTACATCGCTTCTATGGACACCGCTCACAGAGCACCAGGAGCTGCCACGGCGCCAATAGACCAATGGAGTTTATACATGAACGCCTCGTGCAGAGCGCTGCACCAGGCGCGGAACATCGACGTTGCCGCTAATTGGTGTGGGTCCGTGCGCTCGAGAGGGGATGACTGGAACTGAGACCACCGGCAGATACTCGGTTCTGCACGACGTCTGCCTCAGTGTATACGTAAGCGAGCAAGCCGCTCTCTGGATTGTCGCGGCACGCGCCTGCGCAGTGGCCGCTCTGCCTATTTCCCGCCTTCCCCCACTCGTCGACTCCTGAGGTTCAGGCCCGTTAATTCTCTCATATCTGATCCCCTTCTGCCCTTCCCCTGGAAAAACCCCGCCTGAAGATGACTACACTACTACAGCGATGACACGCGTATTGTGCAATAAATTCGGGAGTTGACGTTGGGCGGCTGCAGCATGTGAAGGCTGGCAATGGCTATCGTAACGCGGCGACGAGCTTTTCTTCATCATAATGTTTGCACAAAGCTCGTCTTTTCTACCCTGAGCAAGAAGAGGAGGGTAGGCGATGTTACGGGGAAGGAGGATCATGAAAGGACGCCGGTGAGTCACTAAATCATCAATCTGACTGGTCATTTCCCCTTCCGATTCACGATAGATAGAGTGTGAATCGCTCTACGATCTATTTCATTTTACAACAAACAAGTGCAGTCTTGTAGCTCGTAATGAATCATGGGTTCGAGATATATTAGGATATGCACGCGGTGCTTAAAATACTATTTTCGCTGAATACGCGTTCGTAAGTAAAGTTCGAGCCAAGGCCGCCGTCGTTGTGACCGTAGGGGCTTTCGAGGATTACCTCGATGGCGCGTCATTAGTACAAGACAGGGCCCGCAGCAGGTCTGTAGACAAAGTGAGCCCGCATGAAATGCGAGGCGATCGGCGGGTATTCACCTTCCGCAGCACAAGCACGCCGCTATGCAGTCGAAGAATCCTACAAAGCAGCCCACAATGACTTCAAAGCGCGTAAGTCGTGTAGACTAGGATGGAGACGTCGCAAAGACGCACGGCTGATAATCCACTCAAGACATCCAAAAACGACGGCCACAACGGCCATGACGGCGTCGGCGATGCAGACAAAGATCGCCGCAACGCAAGAGCAGATTATTCTATCCAGATAAATCAGTGAGAGAAACGTTGAATAGGAAGATGTACGCTCGTACCCCATTATATCGTCAGTGTCGTTAGAGTGCGGTAAAGTTACGTAACGAAATGTGAGCCGAACGTCGTTAAAGATGAAGGGGGGGATATGATGATGAGGCTTGTGCTTTTGGGAACTTTATACAGCTTGGTCAAGTGGAGCTTGGCGCAAGCTGACATGCTTGACTTCTGATCTCCATGCTTGCGCAAGATGTGAGGAGCTTCGGACTCACAATACATGTCCGTGAGCCCCAGCCCTAACCTTAGAGGAGGGCTTACGTCATTCTAACCCTACTCGATCGGAGAGCCGGCGTCCCACAGCGAACTCATGATACGATGAAATGTATAATCAATAATGTTGGCAGTGGTAATTTTGGTATGAAAATAAGGGTATGACAATCACTGCGACAGTGCGATGCTTGATACAATACTAGGAAAGGATCATGCGCTGGTAGAGGCTGCAACCTCCGCAGCCTCAGGTTGATTGTTGTCACTGTCACGCTGCATGGACAGTCTGTCACGATGTCTGGCGGAATAGTTAAGTGTAGCACATAGAAGTTCGACATTATTTTCACCTCGAACAGCAGAAGATTGCGTCTAGACAATCTAGAAGCCCGATGAAGATATGCGCAATGACTTGCATGTTGGGTGTTGATTGGTATGGTCCAGGAATTCGACTGGGGAGAACTCACTATGAACTGGCCAGAGAAGAGTCCCGCCAATGACACGAATGAGGCCACCAACAATGTAGCCTACTTCCCTGAATATGCCTGCAGCGCAAGAAATAATGATACTGTGGTCATCGTATCACCGATAAATGAGCGAGGACGACATCAAAGATAGCTCGCAAGCACGCACTCACCCCATACTGTATGAGTTATCGAATCAATTCTAGCGCGTGGGTTCTTTCGGCAACGCGAGATGGGGGGATGGATGATCATAGAGATATTTATATGCGCTGAGATCTGTTCAAGTTGACAGCAAGCGGTGTCCATCACAAGCAGCGCAGCAATATGCTGTGTCGTGATGGAATTGATCGCAGCACTAATTTCTAATTCATGTTAGAATGCTTGTTGTTTTTCTCTTGCCACTGCAAGCTTACAGACAAGCCAGAAACCTACTGAGATCTGGCATTGCCACATGCGCATCAAAGGTAGATAGAATAAAGTTAGGACAAGAGATATTATGAATAGACTTAGCTGGTGCCGTGACGTAAGAGATGTGCTGCCAGCGCGCCCACGTCAAATGTCTACACAGTTCAGTGAGCCGATCGTCGACGGAACTTCATATCACAGCCAGCACTTCTGCCAGAACCTGTACTCATCGCATTGCAAAGAAGCTAAATAGTAAGCGTGTTTGCAGCGAGGACGCGAACAATTAGGAGACTTGATCACATACCACTTCGTGCGCTTACCTAATGGGATGTGCCGGAGACGCGTACTTGAAAAGTAGAGAAGGGCGCGCCTTCGGAATGTCCACGAGGACTTCTAGATTATCGCATGCACCGGAATAGACAGCGCCACGGACATTCGGAGCGAACTTCCTGAAATTCTCTCATCTAGAGACATGGACCCTTGTCATCTAAAGAGAGCGGGAAAGAGCCCACCATGTTGATCATGTCTTGAGATAACACAAATGCGTTGTTAGACCCAGATGGGACACCGAGACCTGCTAGCAGCATGCGCTACTTCACGGCCATGCGTCCAACGAGGGAGCTGCAAGGCCGCTGATATCTGGGAATCTTCCGCCTCCATAGATAAAGCGGCTCCTGACGGCACGCGCACGTATAGAATTACGTCTACTACACTTCTGCTCCCGAGTTGCAGAACATGTCTTCCAGATAATTCGTACCGAGTGGGGTGGGGGCACTACTCGTTCGGCACAACAGCGTTGGGGCAGAGTTTTGGGGCAAACACAAGAACACCAAGATTAGGGATCAACGTTCATATATGCAACGTCTGTAAATTGCAGCCAACCCCCCCTGCATCACCATGCAAACGTACGGAAAGGAACAGCAGTCTCCTCACCCGTTCCAACAACCGGGCCGCACGGTCATATACCCCATTAGTTGCTCGATGGAGGTTGAATTGGAACTTCATTTGTAACCTCCGTCCTGGACTAGCCAGCCTCGTTGCTCCTTGCTCCTTGCGTTCAATGGGCGGAGCGACCGGGAAAAGTCAACTGACTGGAAATTTGCTGATCGTCTCATGCTGGGACCTGGGCGTCCAGGGAGGCGATGTCATCCGTACGCTGTTGTCCACCACAGCTGCAACACTCCGTACGTAGAACGGTCGTAGATGCGACTCCGCCGCCCTCGAGACTTTCGCTTCAGCCAGTACTTGGAATGGCGAAGGTTCCAACGTGGCTGCCTGCAGAGAGCCAGGTGGCCAAAGGTTAAAGATAAGGCCTGTTGCGCGCGGGTAACGGAGTTGAAGAAACGCGATCGGGGCACGCTCATTGGCTGCGGTGTCCAGGTGGGGGAAAGTAAATTACCTAAAACGCGACCGACGGCGAGTCCAGCCAATGGGAGAGTTTATAACATTGATGGTGTCGCAATTGGTCAGCGTGGTCTCGACTGGTTGCTTTCCAAGAGTCATATCGAGGTTCCGTCTCCTTCTGCCGGCTGACTCGAGCTCCTGTTTGATATGTAATCCGGAGGATGTATTATCGATGTCAGGCAGTAAATAAAACGCGGCGGAGCAATAAAAGGCGGACTCGCGGTGAACTGTACGAGCTAGTCCCCGGTCTCGGTTTCTCTCTCTCCGGTCTTTCTCTTTTCTTCTCTTTCTTCCGTCTCTTTCCCTTGTCCTCACTGGTCTCTCTGTCGTATTGTATAATCTGTAGAGTTCGTAGACTATCATCATGATCGGCCCTCCGTCCTCCAACACGAAATCGAACGTACTTTCGCCCGCCCAGACACTTGTCGACGGTCGCATCCCGCAGCGCTTCTCGCCTTTCCGGCGGTATCTGCTCCTGATGGTCTTCTGTTTTGCCCAGTTCCTGGACTCCGTCAACAACTCTGCGCTGTTCTCGGCCATTCCAGCCCTCGAGAACTCTCTAGGTATCAATGAGAGCGAGTCAACATGGGTCATTAGCGCATTTCAGCTCACATTTGCATCTTTCCTCTTGATTGTGAGTCTCTTATTTCGTAGCCGCCTCGTGTGCGGAGGCCGGCGTCGAATCAAATGCTTCTTCTTGCGCTGCTTCGTCGTCCTATGCGGCGGCGACACGGGATACGTCATACATACAGATCAGTATCAACACGAGCTGAACGGGTGGCAACTGGAAAAAAGGGGGACCGCGTACTTGATTCTCACTACGGCCTCCGCACACGAACGAGCAGCATGTTTCTTTATCTTCACTTTCGCTCATAGTCAATATCCTCTTTCAGAGCGGGAGAATCAGTGATGTATACAATCCAAGTGAGCGAGATTGAGCACTACGGGTCCCTTTTGAGGTGCTCATAATATTGTGTCTGCTTTCCAGAAGTTGCTTTCACAGGCGGTGTCGCGGCTCTTGGCGTCCTCTCTATAGGCGCCGGGTTCGTGAACGACAAAATTGCCCTCATTGTCCTCCGTGCCTTGAGTGGCATAGGTGAGTAGTCGTATGCTAGACATATCTCCGCACCCCATATTTAATGAGATTGTACGGACAGCCGCGGCCATGACCATCCCTTCTGCGCTTTCGCTCCTCGTGAATGTCTTCCCCGAGCCAACGGAACAAGCACGAGCCATTGGCGTGTTTGGTGGATGTGGTGCAGTTGGAAATGGTATGATTCTCCGTCAGAAGGATGCACTTGACGACCTTTTATTAATTGGCAATTGGCAATATATCAGTGCTCGGCTTGATCATCGGCGCAATATTTGTTCAATACGCATCTTGGAGATGGGTGTTTTGGTTCGTCGCAATCGTCGCGTTCATGATCGCAGGTGCATGTGTGTTGCTCGTCCCACCGCAAGAGGAACAGGTGTACGTCGAAGGCGCACGATGGAAGAGCTTGGATCTTGGTGGCGTGTCGATCTTGACAGGTACCCCAATTTCAGCTTCCAGAGTACTGCGAAAGCTGATCATTTGTCGTAAATACAGCTGCACTCATCCTGTTCATTTTCGCCATCACATCCGGGTCCTCAGACGGCTGGGGGTCCGCATTGGTGATTGCGCCGCTGATTATTTCAATATTCATGGTGGCTGGGTTCTTCTTCTTTGAGACCCGGATTCCCGCGTCCAAGGCGGCAGTGTGAGTCCTCAGCCCACAGACATGTACGATCGGTTTCCGACTCACGCGCAATTCAGACCACCGCGAACGTGGTTCTTGCCCAACTTTGCAGTGCTTTTTGGGACCGCGTTGCTACCATATTTCTGGTGGACAACCATCTTCACAACGTACACGACGCTGTGGCAAGATGTATACCATTGGACGGCCATCTCAACTGCAATTCACATGTAAGCTCGCTCATCGTTTCTAAATAGGTCACGACCCTCACTGCGAGTGTTCAGGATACCAATTGGCGTATTGGCGTTTGCAATGAGTTTCACAGGACCGTTGTCGAGGGTTATAAATCCGAAGTGGATTATTCTGTTCGCGGAATCGTTGCTCGTAATCGCGACTATCCTGCTTGCATTCGCAGACGGACCAGACAAATATTGGCCGTTCGTGTTTCCCGGCTTCGCGCTCGGCAGCGCAGGCGCGATGCTTGTATACTCGCACACGAAGTGAGTATGCTGCTTGACCCTGCCCACTCGCTGACTGATTCTCCTTCGCAGCATTGCGATCTTCCGGACGTCCCCATCATCGATGGCAGGCACCGTTGGGGCGATATTTAATGGGGCCCTGCAGCTCGGATCGGCAGTGGGTATCGCAGCGGTCGGTTCGATCGAATCGAGCGTAGAAGAGGAGCATGGAGGTGAGGTAGAGTCTGGTTACACTGGCCAACAGGCGGCTTTCTGGTTCCTGCTCGGCATCGTTGGCATTGAATTTCTCGGCCTGTTGGTATTCTATCGTACGGAGAAAGAGGGCGTTGTGCCGGATGTGGCCCCCGCCAAGGCGGAGGACGCCATGGAGGTGGTGGACGAGAAGTTGGTAGAAGCAAAATTGGACACAGCCAACGTCGTGCGCGGTGGTGGACCAACAATATTGGACGTTTCGGAGCTGGTGATGGATGTCAACAGCGTGGACATTGGTATTTCTCCGGTATAGAGTGGTGACTGGGTTGGATGTCTCTGTTTCATTTCTTTGGGGATCGGATTTCTCTCTCTCCTTTTCTCTGCACTCTGTTTCCTTTTCTTACTCAGAATATCTCGCCTCATCTCACGAACTGCAGTGCTGCAGCCATACACTAGACCATAGACCGCGGTTTCTATGTATCGATAGTTCGCCGTCCTTGCATCCCTTCTTTCGTTGATTGACATTTATCATTGATGTCATGTTTCTCTTGCGCACTTGTTCCGAGTCTGTGGACTTACGTACTTATAGTCTGCTAATTAATTGCATCCTGCACGAACTTGAGTACATACCACTGATGCATCGCGAGCGTATCGGTGTAAGCTTTCGGTGCACATATGCAACTTGAAGGCCCCATCCCAGCTTCCTTGACTGAGAAGGCTAGTCGGGATTTGAAGTCGAAGTGAACCGAGAGCTAACGGCAACACTCGTGACGCTCACGCCCAATGCCCAGTGCCACCATTTGCCCTGGCTTGCCTCCTCAGGTTGCGCCACTCCATGTCATTGCTGCGTTGAATCCATTGTCGCACTCTACTCGCTGGTCTCAGCATTTATAACGACTACCTTTCCAGAATCGATAAGTCCGAGGGTTAAGGCTTGATTTTTCGCCGACATCAGAAGCCGGAAGCCCCCTCAATCAAGATTTGTCTGCCCGCGGAGCAGACACGACTATTTTCGCTGATCACGACTTTATAAATTCTAGGTAGCTATTCTGAGCTTTTTATTCCCTTGAGCAGAGCGAATCGTGCTGTTGTATGTTAGCCCTTAGACATTTCAAGACGTTTTTTGACAGCACGACCAGCCCTGATGAGTTCTTCATATCCAACGATAGAATCACGACCTATTACGCCGCACATACCGACGACTTGCTCACAATGCCACTCACAACTCGAGTTCCCTGTACCCGCGCCATCACTGCGCCCCGGAACGCTGCTGAGCGTTCGCTGTTTCAGTTGCAATGCTGTATTCAATCATTCCTTCTACCCATCGCAAGTGCCTAGTCTTCCCAGTACTCTCATGAACGCATCCACCTCGGGGTCGGCTGGCGGACAGGGTGCTTCGTCATCGCAAGCGCACACTCCACGGAAGGGAAGGAAGATTGGAACCCAAGAGCGGCCGTTGGAGACGAAGTATTATGACATCCTAGGTGTACCCGTAGATGCGAGCACGGAGGACATCAAGAAGGCATACCGTGAGTCGTAGACCATGTCGTTGAGTATGGGGTGCTCATTTATGCCATAGGTCGTCTGGCTATCAAGCACCATCCAGACAAGAATCGCGATGACCCGGAGGCAGAGGACCGGTTCAAGGAGATCGCAATCGCATATCAGACTCTGTCAGAGCCTGAGCTCCGGAAGAAGTACAATGAATTCGGGGCGAAGGAGAGTGCGCCGGAGGGCGGCTTTGTGGATCCAGAGGTGCGTGGCAGATACCAGTCTGTAATGTACTCAATCCTTGATGATTTGTACAGGAATTGTTTGGCACCATATTCGGCGGCGAACGATTTGTGCCTATCATAGGGCACATCAGTCTTGCAAAGGATATGAAAGCGGCGCTCCAGGAGGCAGACGAGATGGAAGAGGAAGAGGGAGGTAGACCAATACAGCGCGACGCAAAGGGACGCGAAATTCTCAGCCCTGAGGAAAAGGCGCGACGAGAGGAAAGAGCACGCAAAACAGCAGCTGAGGTGAGCACGGCTTGCTCATGATAACGTTGAGCGAACGACAGATGAACCACTGCAGAAAGCGGCTGTGCGTGCAGGGCGAGTGCAGAAGCTTGTTGAAAATCTGGAACGCAAGCTTGGGATTTTCACTGAGTCTGCAACTGGTCCGAGCGATGCGCAGGTCACAGAGAGTTTCCGGACCATTTGTCAGCTAGAGGCAGAGTGAGTGAACCCGCTCGGATGTTTGTGTTTCTACTGATATGATAATATCAGTGATCTAAAGCGCGAATCTTACGGTGCAGACTTGCTGCAAACCATTGGTTTCGTGTACGTTGCGAAAGCGAAGCAGCATCAAGCAACAAATCAGACATTCCTCGGTGTCGGTGGCTGGATCCACAGCGTTCAAGGAAAGTATCATGTATTCAGCGAGACGTGAGTTGTTACTTTGTTTCCGACGCACGGATGGTAAGAGCAGACCTATTACAGAGTGTCTACTGTCCGCGCTGCTATGGACTTGAAGAATGTCTTTGAGCAGATCCAAGCTGCGGAGAAGGCGGGGAATCTCAGTCCTGAGGAGAAACGGCGGCTGGAAGAGCAGGCCGCAGAGAAAGGTCTACAAGCGCTATTCAAGGTATGTATCCGATTTGACGTTGAGTCAGCCCACCCTCAACCCGCTTTATCTCCAGGGAACAAAGCTAGAGATTGAATCCGTGCTGCGTGAGACATGCGACCGCGTACTCGAGGATCCGTCACTTTCGAGAAACAAAGCTCAGCTACGCGCACTTGCACTTCAAATTCTAGGCGAGGCCTACATGACGGTTAAGAAGGATCAGGAACAGGTAGAATCACGAGAGGAAAGCGAGTATGTGAAGGTAGAGACGAAAAATAGCCGACAGCGGGACTCTCAGCGAGCTCAGCCACGCTAAACCAAGTGATTTCAGCGTTCTCTCCACAAGCACACTAAGTAATTGTCCGAGTCGCTAGATTACAAGTCGATGGCAACCCCGGTCATGCATGCCTTATTCATTTTTTTTCCTAATTACTGTATCGCCTCGTTCATATACTGCTCCTTTTTACCGCCGTTTTGATGACTTCTATCTTTTGCTCGGACTCGTTGAGTGGACTTGCCCGCAAGAAACGGATCAATCAACAGTCGAGTCCGGGGTCACGTGTGTGAGATCGATCAAGAAATATTGGGCGACAAACGCGGCAGATTCCAAGATTCACGCCCTTCGAGTCATTGAAGACTGACTCGCTTTCGTTTCTTCTCCCTAGTCTTTACGATCTCCTACAAGACACAATGTCAGACAATGTAACTGGGACTATATTGGATTCCAGCGCGCAGAAAAAATACGACCTCATCACCCGGCGGCTGCAGGAAGTCCTGGGAGCAGATACACTCAAGGCCATTCTCGCGGAGGGAAGATCGCCAAAATGTTACTGGGGTGAGTCTATGAAAGACGATCGAGAGAGATATGTGTTTTATATTTCGATATCATTTTAGGCACGGCGCCCACTGGAAGGCGTAAGTATCCTGAACTCGTCGTCTCAGTCGTACGCTTAACGCGAGGATACTGCAGCACATATTGGCTACTTTGTGGCGCTTACTAAGATAGCTGATTTCTTGAGAGCGGGTGTAGAGGTCAAAATTCTACTTGCAGGTGAGTCTAAATTGATTGATCATACTGTACATATAATACATGTGCTTGCGTGCTACAATGCGCGGTGGCTCACGCGGAAGCGCCTCGTACGTTTTGTGAGGGCGAAGGGCGGCAGTGTAATGAAGTAAGGCATGATTATGGATCCTAAGGATGACCTATTCAGTGAACCGTGTAGCAATGAGATTCAAACTTCTTGTTCTGTTCAGATGAGCAAGTCCCTCTAGTCTCCGTTCATGAGCTATACTGCAGGAATAATACGGCGTACTCATCCTAGCTTCTGTTCACAGACGTGCACGCATTTCTGGATAATCTCAAGGCACCTTTAGAGCTTGTAGCTCACCGAACGAAATACTACCAGCATTTACTCCTTGCCGTGTTCACATCTTTAGGTATCCCTACTAACAAGCTACGTTTTGTGGAGGGATCCTCTTATCAACTCACAAGAGAATACAACCTCGACAACTACAAGCTATGCGCGATTGTCACTGAGCACGATGCAAAGAAAGCCGGAGCCGAGGTCGTTAAGCAAGTGGATAGCCCTTTATTGAGTGGGCTTTTGTACCCTGGTCTGCAAGCACTAGATGAGCAATACTTGGGAGTCGACTTCCAATTTGGTGGTGTGGACCAGGTCTGTTGCTCTGCAAATGAGGTTTTGAGATCGCTCACAATGGGGCCGTAATGTGTGAACCCCCACAGCGAAAAATCTTCACCTTCGCTGAGCTCTACCTTCCCCGTCTAGGGTATGCAAAACGCGCACATCTAATGAATCCAATGGTTCCCGGGCTCGCTGGTGGCAAAATGTCGTCCTCTGATCCGGATTCGAAGATCGACTTCCTCGACACGCCCGCCGACGTGAAGCGCAAGATCAAAAAGGCGTTCTGCGAGGAGGGAAATATCGTGGACAACGGTGTCCTGGCGTTCATCAAAACTGTCATCATTCCTATCAGCCAGCTGCGGCTCGAGCGTGCGCGCGGGGAGACAGGGGCAGACGCAGATGAGGGTGCGAACGCTGTCGGTTCTCAGACGGCATTCGCGCTAGAAGGCGCACCCGAAGGCACTGTTTTCTCCGTCTGCCGAAAAGAACAGTACGGCGGACCATTGCACTACCAGACCTACGAGCAGCTCGAAAGTGATTTTGCTGAGAAGAAGCTTCATCCGGGAGACTTGAAAAATGCGGTGCAAGATGCGATCATTCAGCTACTGGAGCCAATTCGCAAGACTTTCGAGGAGAGCGAGGAATGGCAGAAAGAGGAGAAACTGGCTTACCCGACTGATACAAAACCCGAGAAGAAGAAAAAGAAGGTAACTTATACATCTTAGTTGATTGACATGGTCCATTCACTCGTGATCCTAGGAGAAGGTCTACCATCCGCCGCCACCAGGTAAGGGAAAGAACTCGAACGTGGAGGCCAGTACGAATGCAAGTAGCGATGCTCAAACAGCCACCAAGGCGCCAGAAACATCAACATAGCCGAGTCTGCCCGCACAGTGTATATATAGTGAAATATTCAGGCAGTCATCACAGGTCACGATAGTAAAAGGAGAATATATCGACACGCTATAACACTGAACCATTTATGCACTTGCTAAATGCAGCTGACGCATGACTCGGAAGTTGTTACGCTCGTACTCTGCGCACTTCTCCAGTAATATTTCCGCTTGTAGAAGTTCTGCTTCTCTTTGTACTATAGCGCGCAAGGGGAAATTCTCAGCGGCTATAAGATATCATGCAAAGTGATACCCACATGTCTTATATGTGCCCGGCGTGAGTGTATCCAGCAGAAGGATTTGTATCTCCTCCACGAGGTTATGAACCCTCCAGTAATGTGCCAGACGTAGTATGGACAGGAGTACATTTTGGTCGTGTGTGTCTATGCAGCGAATATCTCTGGTGTAGATATAATCTAAGCAAGTGTGAGTATGCCGATTAAATCCCCCCGTTGATTGAGCAGAACACTCACCTAGGACGCATCGCATGGATGTTGCGTCTTGGTCGACCTGAATAGGGTTCTTTACCATACCCGGCATGCTTTCCTTGAACGCAGAGCAGAACATATCGTTGAAATATTCGTTCGACGCAGAAAGGAAGCAGCGATGAATCGGAAATTCAGCACCATCAACGCTGCGAAGTATAGCGTCTGTCAGACTCTGCTGCATTCTTTGCTCATTCAACGCGCTGCGGAAGCGAGTGAACAGATTCTCCGCTGTCTCGTGTTCTATGGTAGGAGCAGTGACTTGTTTGATCTCGTTAGCATTGGCTGAGAGTAGCAGGTCTTTAAATGGTATCAAAAAGGCGCGTACACGTTGTCGATCATCCTCGTCAGGGGCATTAAAAATGAGACGATCTGCGCAAATGAATTGCCATGGGTCACTTTTGGTCTGAACATTGAGAAACAAGGGGTCGTTTGAGCGCTGAAGGAGGTAGGGACCAGCCTCCTCGCTGTTTTTAGTAAGCCACTTGTAAGTCTTGGTCAAATCCCTGAACACTTCTTCGTTTCCAGTATGATCTCGTGCTACTTCCAGTGCCAGTACAACCAGATGATTTACCTAGGTGTATTATAAGTGGCGTATCAACGTTGGACTCAACTTGAGATAACTCACCACTTCTTCAACAGAGGGAACGCCTAAGCGCATATCCGCCAAGAGAAGCCGTTCATCTGGTTTAGAATGGAACAACGCTCTTTGTGTCCATGCGATGCATTCGTGCTCCTGACGTAGGACTTCATTCGGACTAATGACATCCGGTAATTCAATAGCGTATTGTTCCGCGTGAATAGAAGTATCATCATAGCTACGACGGAGGGACGCGCGAGGAATGAACCGGAGACTAGACAGCTGATTCCACTGAGTTTCGTTGTGTCCAATTCGGATGGGTAGTTGCTGATACCACGGAAAAATAGTCAAGGCTCTATCCCGACGATTTGGTCCCCTGACATCGCGACTGAGAACTTCAGCACAATACTTGAATGCGGAGAAGTCATGGTCGTGATGAAGACCGAACGGATGGAGCCACGGTTCGTAGGTTGCGAGGTCCCCACACAAAAAGTGTTGGGGCCGTGTAGCCAACGCGGCACGGAATATGTCATCTGTTCGGGTGTACAGCGTATCTGACATCACCATAACACGAGAGGAATTAGGCACTTTGATCTTGGTAACTCCAGCTACTTTGTAGTCAGATTCCAGAATAGCAGAAAGGAGTTGCTTGAACGAGGGAATGTCGGAACGCGGTAAGACCTTCGGATAGTCCAGCCAAGACAGGAATCTGCTTAAATCCATTGGATGCCGATCTAGAAAGTTGAGCACTCGGGACGGAACCTCTACGAAGTAGAATGAGGTGGGTAAGAAAGTTGCCACATCTCTGAGCTTAAAGTTCAAAGGAAGAATCTCGACGTCTCTATCGTGCAACGACCGAAGTTCTATACGATTTGCGCGTGATGCTAGCCATATTGGAATAGAATGCACAAGAGAGGCGAGCGCAGGTGCGAGCTTTGTGGTTTGTAGTGATTGTACGCGTTGGTCCAGTTCACCTCGAACCCAGCTCGCAAATCCTTCGTGCTCTTCCTGTGATAATCGGCTGAACGGATCTCGGACATCTTTCTCGACGTAATTGTCTTGCAGCAGTTCAAGAACATTCTGAATAGTGCAAGTAAGAACTGAAAGAGGACGTCTTACACAGCCCGGCATTGTGTTTCTGTCGACTAAGATAGCACGCATTTTTTCGAGAGCAGGCACAAGGCAGGCTGGTGCGTCTTCAGGTGGGATTGCCAGAACACTTTTTGTGCAACAATAGTCCACTGAAACATATTGAAGAGCATGTGTGGTAGGAACCAAAGCGAAAGTCTTGACGTCGTCAACTTCGATGTCTAAACGGTAGAAATGCAACCAAAACTGTTCAATCCACTTCGCTTCTTGTGGGCTAGTGATCATAAGTGATTGTTTGGAATTCGGTAGACGAAGCTCGATCAGTTCAGCTATATTAGCTGCTGTGAATTCCGCAACATTAGGGCACTGATCGAGGAACGGCCTGTAATTGTATACGCAAGGATCCAAAAAACGCTCAGAAGGGAACAGGGGCCAAGGCTTCTGATCTTCGGGCCAGTTCTTCGCATAAATGATCGTTCCTGATGTTGACTCGATACGTGTAAGGTGGCCACTTGCCAGAGGCAGGAGCGGAAGGCCCTCCAAATCCAATTGTAGCGTCGAATCCGCTATCAAGTAAGCGAAACAGTCCACGATATGCTTTGCTTGTATTCTCTCTTCGGTCCGCCCTGTGACAGATAATGCTCTCTTTTCTGTGTATGCTTCGACAAGCTCGTCACTGTACCGCGCAAGGATGCCTCGCGCATGGTGCCGTTCAATCCAGGGGATCTTTGCCTTCGAATTCCGTGCTACTCTGTGGACCAGAGTGGGGAGCTTGACCAACTCTGGTGCCTGTAACATAAGCAACACCTTTCGTACGCCCGAGAGCTCGTCATGATGAAGGAATACAGCCTCTGAAGGGCTTAGTCGAGCAGTAGTGATGCTACAGCAGACCTTTCTGCTGCTTCGAACTAGCGTGTGGTAGAATGACGTCGCTACGGCGCGTGACAATAGATCTTCAACAGCAGGTGGTGGCACTGATCCCGGCCAGACGTCGACATTGCTATGGGGTAGAGGCCATGTCTCTAGGAGAAACATGTAAAGAGGAGGAATGAGCTCTGATAACACCCAGTAGTTAAATTTAGCTTCTGGTATTAATGTTCCGCCGTCATCAAACCGAATAGAGCGACGGTCGTCAGCAAGAATGAAAGAGGCAGCATGCACATGGAGTGGTAGTGAAGTCGTGATTGGAAGGGGTAAATTTGAATAGAATTGATACTGGTCTCTGTGGCTTTCATTCTTCGCAGGCCCTGGACTTAGCTGCGGGGACTGGACTGCTAATCCGACCTCGAAGTTCTTCAATCGGTGCTTCCGGATGAGCGACTGAAACTCTTCTGGAACAATTTGCCGCGAGTATCGTGAGAAGAAAACATCCCAATGTCGGTTGACACTAATATTAGACGTGTTGGTATGCGTGATTGTCACTCGAGTTTTCTCAAAGAGATCTTCAGAACAACATTGTTGGCGTTTGGCAACTACCGACCAAGTCATGTTGACAGATCTGGACCACCGCCTTTCTCCCACTGTAACGAACTCCAGATCAATGAAGAGGAGAGACTCGGGGGCTTTGAGTTCGAAGGACTCCATCATTCTGCGAACCTTTGTCGCTGAAATAGGATCTTGAGATAGTCGACTGCTTTCAGCTTGTTTCCTTGTTCGCAAAGGAAGCCAGAAAAGTGTCTAACAATCGACAATAAGAGCTTACAGAGTTCAAGTGTATGCCAACGTACCCCATCATAAAAGTCTTGGTCTAGAGAAAAACCCTGAATACCATCCAATCGCGCAAGGTGACCGCTATAGAGGCTAAATAGATGGACACATCAATACTCGGAGGGCGTTGCGTGACATTGTCTTACCTTAGTAATTCTTTGAGCGGGAGCCGCAAGCAACTATGCATACAGCCTTCCTTGTGAGGCAGAAACATCGTTCCAGGATCAAGAAATTGTACATATGTTCCGGAAACAATCATTGCCATCTAGCACATATACATGAAACGGGATTAGAATAATAAGAATGCTAGCGACGGCGTTCGCGCTCACCTCGCCGAAATGGAACATGGTCAGCGCGCCAAGCCCAAATTTGCCGATAACGCCATCACGGCCTTGTTTCCCTCCCCGTCCGAGTTGGCGGATACCCTTGAAATCCGAATCTTTAAAGAGAGCATTGTTGTGTACAATGAGTGCTGGGTCCAAGTGAAGCTGGGCAAATCGGGGTGTTAGAAACTCAAGACCTGTGATATCAAAGGGATTCTCATCCAAGATCATGGAGAAATATTTAGCTCCAGCATCCGTTGCATTCGCAATAAACTCGTTGAATGCCTGTTCAATGGAATACTGACACAACACTCCATTGATGCGGTCGATGGGATCCTCGCGCATATCCTCGTCTTCAAGATCAAACATCTCCAGATGGAGAGAGCTGAGAGAACGAACACCAAGCCGATCCGCAAGCTGGTATGGAATTGCGCTGTGGATACAATATAGACCGCTGGGTAGCTTGACACGGCAAGCACGATAGCCGAGATCATTGTAGAACACTTCCAGGCAACTGCGCATGTATCCGCTATGATCAGGTACGAGTATTTGTTTCTTCTTTTCCTCTGACAGGTCACGGAGGTGGACGGCGTCAAGAAGCTGGCCGACTTGTTGTATGATCTCAAGCGGGAGGGGTTGAGATTGCTGTGAACTTAATATATTGATTCTGTGGACTATTGCCGAGGCAGAGGGACTGAACGTGAAGAAAATTTACTAGTCAGACGAGCAAAAAACCCAACCAACAATGGAGCTCACCGCTCTGTACATCCCATTCTGATGAGAAATTCTTTCACTCCTGGTCGCGATGATAGCTCCGGAGGAATGCGATAGAAACCAAGCGGGAAGTGCATATTAAAAACGACCTCAAAACTTGTTGCAATATAGACTGGGTCCCACGAAACTGGTATCCACCGGCGAGAATTGGTCATCTCCTGCAAATCAACAAAATGTTGTTTCGATCCCATCAACTCTTGAAGACGAGTCCCGAAATGACGGAGAATTTTTGCTAGATATTCTGCATTGTTGCCCTCCTTTATGATTACTTGAAATTGCTTCTTCACTGTCTCCAAAGGAACGAGGCGATTCCAGCCTAAAGCAGCGCATAGAGATGGGCTCATGGGACCATCGACGACAGGTAGAACGCGATCAAATAACTCCACATTGTATGGACCCAAACACTCCGTAGAAGATCGAAGGCCGCGGCGAGTCGGTAGCCATTCTAGATGAGGTCCAATTTGAAGCCCACTACAGTCGAAGGACGATGATTTTAGCAAATCAAGAAGCTCCCTCGCCATATTTTGAGCGCGATCCTCCGTAAGCACGTCCCTATTTGTCAATATCATAATACGTTCTTGCACGAACTCGACAGAGAGAAAATCACGCAGAAGTCGAAGATCGCGCAAGGCATCACACATCTCCAAGTAGATCCCACCATTGCAAGATGAGACAGACCTCATTTCCTCTGGTAGCACGAGATGTGAAATGGATGAGTCAGGATCAACGATATCCCGAGGGGAAAGAAATCGCATCGACCCCTCTCCAACGGCGATAAAGGGACTGCGCCTGAGTTTATCCAGAACGGAGAATGATTGGAGATCTTCGTGGTCGGCCAGGTATGTGAGGAATCCGTATTGATATACCGGCGACTGTTCACAGAAGTTATCTGCAACAAGCTCGACAACCTCGGTTAATCGGAGCTCCCGAGTAGCAGCTCTAAGATCAATGTGCTCCAAGATCCCACGTTCGACATTGGAAACGGAAAGGAATATTACATTGTCGATGGAAGGAAGCAAGGAAGAGGCTGCTTCGCTGACGCAATGAATTATAGCTCCCGGCGGTAGGGCTACCAGACGAGATTCGACTATGGCTTCGTCCAGAATAACGTTAGCAGGGAATATGGGCAGAGAGCGCAACTTTGAGATTTGATTTTCTGTAAGGCGCCCCGATCTTGCCAGGCAGTCGGCCAAATGTCTGCATAACAAAGCTGCCGGCTGCGGGTCCAGGGTGTGATTCGAAGGGATGGTGAAACTGTCAAGCAAGTTGGATGCACTTCGGAGGTCCTTGATAATACCGGATTTGCGAGAGATAAGATAATCTGCAGCAGCTTCAGGGAATTCTGGATGCAAGAAGGTTATACCCAATCCTCCCATGGTCTCACATAGTGACGATTCCATATTGTCCTCTTCCCGAAACGTGCCCTCTTTCACAACTTGAAGACGGCCATTCGTGGTAGGAAGAATGCACAGATGTTTAATCGCATCGAGGAGCTCAAATGATGAGTGCCAGGAAGGCATCCACTTCCAAAATTTAAGCAGCCAGCGAGAGAATGTCTCGGAAACAGGCGTCGTATTCAACTCCACACGGAGGTATTCCACAACACGGGAGGGGTAAAGTCGGACGACGTTCAGTTTTCCCTCGCCATGGACGGCTAGCTGATTCGCTACTACATCTGGCAGCATATGGAGGGCAACTGCGTCGCCGTCACGGTGACGGAAAAGGTCAGCCTCCTTCGCGTCTAACAGAGTGTACATATGCGAGTCGCGGACACTGCTGGCCTCCAAATAGATGTGCTTCTCTGAGACAGTTGGTATGAGTTCCAGATTGGCGAGCAAAGCTAAGTCATTCGACGATATTAGATAACATAAAATCGCGCTTCTGTCGGCAGACTTGAGTTGTCTTAGCTCAGAGTATGATGCGTCCTTATCGAAAGCATAAGAATAAGCATGACAACTCGCGACTGCGAACAATGATGAACATACACGTAATTCTGCATGTGCACGTGCGGGTGTCAAGTGTTGGGTACTCTTCGTATCAAACAGGTCGAAGATATAGGCCGGAGGCTGCGCTACCTTTATTCCTGCATTGACGAGCGAATTTAGAAGCGAGCGGTCTTGACTCGGTGGGGCAACGAAGATGGCATCAAGGGATAGATGCGGCTGGTCTCGCAAGCCAGCGATTGGCCATACGGCATGCCTTCCTTGCTCCACGACGCGCAAGACCTTTTCTGGCATCTTTTGCCAATATACAGACTCCCCGCTAGTAGCCTTGTATTGTTGAGGAGGCCAGATACTGTATTCGTCTGAAGGATTGCATGACGCTGATTGATCGCGTAGCATAGTTGCCCACACTTCCGGAATCAAGTCTTCGAAGAGCACCTCGTTCCATACAATCAGCAGTCTGAAATGGCCAACATCGTTAATAAAGAGAGAAATATGCGGAGAAGGGCCAGCAGCTCACTTGTCACGAGTTCCTGCGAGAATCACTTCCCCACTGTTCCGTAGATGATCCCTGGAGTCGGTGAGAGCAAACAACGCGTGGACATGACATGGGAATCCGGTCTTCAGTGGAAGGGGAAGGTACGTAAAGAGTCTCCCGTTTGTGGTCGCTACAGGAGTGCCATCATTGCGAATAGGGATCGCAATTGATACAGGAGTGCCCTCTCGTGGGCACAGCTTTTCGCTCTCGATATCCGAGCGGATGTCGTGCCCGGGGTTTTGCCCAATTCGCGCAGCGAGAGAGTTGATACAATGATTGTGAGAGAAGGCTGTGCTCCAAACTCGCCAAGTGTAAACGTCACGGCATTCAGCAGCGCCATCCTTGGTGAATCGTTCCAACACAATCGTACAAACACGAGACTGGACAAGATGGTTCGAACTAGTGATTGGGTGCTGGCGTTGGATGGCACATTTGGCTAACGTCCTTTCACCCCCATTATCAATCTCTCGAATTTCGATGCACTTGATGCTGGAGAGGAAGAGCATCACCACCCCGAGTTCTTCTTCGACGAATTCAAGGAGGAGTTTCCTGATTTCATCTGGTTGCGGAACTTTAGAACTGAGGCGACTTTGATGACCTTCTTGGCGCAATGGCAGACGGATCGCAGCTCCGTCAAATGTGGAACCCGCATTCGAGAACGAAAGAAATGGGCATAGCTGATCGCCAAAAGTATCCTTGACATCCGCCAACGACCATTTTCTACCTCCTTCATCTATCAATTTACGATGAGGATCAAAGATAACAAATGAGTTTCCCGACAAAACCTCGAGGTTGTCCGTCAACTGAAAAAGCAAAATTCAGCAGATAAATAGGACGAAAAGTTGAACACTAACATGGTAACAAGAGCGTATTCCGATTCCGTATTTGCCGATTTTCCTACGTTTCAAGAGTCAGTAAGCACTCAATCATTTCATAGACAACAGGAACACAGCGTACGAAGTATCCGATTTTTTAGAAGAGCGGCTGATATTCTGAAGTGCGTCCCAGTCATCGTCGCTGAATGTAGCATCGTTGTACGCTATAAATGCAGGGCCTTGCAATTTTGCGAACTTCGGCTCAATGAGATGCTCGCTGGGATGAATACGACTGTCAAACACAAAGATCTGTGACGAGTCTATGTTCAACACTTAGGGTGAGGTTCGCACGTTGAGTACTAGCCTGGCTCGTCGCTTTGGCATCGTCTGAGTTCTGCAGTAATTCCCGGAAGATCCCGATGCTGAAAGGATAACGCTTTAAGATCGACTCGATGTTGGCGGTAAGATCAACTCTCTCGCCGAAACTAGCCATGATGACAGAATCGTGGAGGGAGAGAAAAGTACAGGATGCGCAACCGGAGCATGCGCTTCTTAAGTGAATGACCAGGGGGAAGAACAAAGTTGCCTCAAGGCTTAGCTCGAGCGCCCCTAGCAACTCTCAGAACGCTTCGCGAGTCACAGGTCTGAGACCCCTGTGCCCGCACATGTGCCGCACGATCAGTGTTGTCTTCGGGATCCATGTACACCAATACCTCTCTTCGTCATCAGATAGGATGCCGTAAATACAACAGAAGCAAGAGAAACAGTTGCCAAGGCGCTTATTGATGAGAGTTATCCCTTCATTTCCGTGGTACTGCGAGAAACGAGGCAAGCTGCAAGTTGATAGTACAGGAGTGTCTGTCATAATTACCGTAATAGGGTCTGGGATAGATCATCGCAGCTGGCAGATTGTGCCCCTGCAGGCAATGGTGGCCCTCATCATTGCCAGCAGTATGGGCCTTCAGATAAGCGGAGCTCAACCAGCATAGAATGGTACGTATGCCCACAAATCCGGACTGGCGCAGATGCTCGATGGAGAAGATACTGTATACTATTCGGCTAGGGAGACTATCATCACGAGAGGGTCGACTCAAGAGTCCCACGCTGGGATGTCCTTGTCCGCCACGCGCCCTCTTTTCTCCAGCAAGTTTCCTCCCTCCTCTCGCGCTTGGCTTGCCCGGCAATTTCGTGACCCCTACGTCCGAGAACGCCTCTCACATCCAGACCGGTTCCGATCTCGGTCCGCGTTCAAGCTCCTTGAGCTTGCCAAAAAATGGAAATTCTTCTGCCCCGATGTCTGCGCCGTCGTCGACCTTGGTGCAGCCCCCGGTGGCTGGAGCCAGGTCGCCGCAGGGAAATTGGGCTGGATAGAAGAGGATGTCGTGGGTCTCCCGCGACCTTCGACGAAGGATACTAGGCCGCCGACGCTTGAGTTTGGCCTCCAGGTCGACTCGCAGAGCAGTAGTTCTCAACCATGGAGTCATCTCGTCGATGAGGTGGCAGGAACTCAGGGCGATCCATATCTGGATGAAGATATCACTTATGCTATCGGACGGGGAACCGTCATTGCCGTTGACCTCCTGCGCATGCTCCCCATTCCTGGCGTCAAAACACTCCAAATGGATTTTCTCTCCCCAAAGGCTGATGAGTACATAGGATCACTCCTGAAAAACGAGAAAAACCCCGAGGGAAAAGTTGACATTGTGCTGTCTGACATGGCGGCCAACTTTTCCGGTCATAAGGCGCACGACGTTGAGTCGTGTCTCGAGATCTGCCAGGCTGTTATCACATTTGCTCGCAGACACCTACGAACAGCGGAGAGTGTTGGTAGGGAAAAGGGTGGTGTACTCGTGTGCGTATGCTTTTCCCTGTACCTTTGAACTGCTAATCATGCCACCATAGTCTCAAGTATTTCGATCATCCGCTTTTAGCGAAGTTTCGCCACGAAGAATTAAAGCCGTATTTCAAGGGTGTTTTCAACAGTAAACCACCTGCTAGTCGGACAGACTCGAGCGAGGGATATTGGATATGCATGGGGTTCAAAGGAGATCTTCCGCGTTTAAAAACTCATAAATGGCGCGCAGCGAAATCACCGTCAAGACCAAGTGATGGGATAGATGCTAATGCTGGCCAGATTGATGAAGGCCGAGAGGCCCCCTGAACCCGGCCCTCATGATTCCTCCGTTTTTCATGAATAGTGGTCGTTTTGCCGACTTGGATCTTTGGTGCACCAAGTTGAGATTTGAGGTTCTATACATCAATCTTGCCTCGTGATTAACAGAATAACTGCTGTCATAGATGCTGCACAAGTACCATATAGTTTGGAATCTAGTAGATGCTTGTATTACACGTAACACATGAATGGAGTATAATGGAGTACAGCTGGATACATGAATACAGGCATAGAGCAACCGAAGCATTGGAACAACCTGAAACCATTAGCAATGGATCATGGACAAGTACCTAAGCCTATGGCTCGTGATGACATCCATGAATGAAGCTCAGGCGCCGAAGCCGTAGAGGGTGCGACCGGAGCGCTTCAGGGCATACACGACATCAAGAGCAGTGACTGTTTTCCTATAGACAGCACCTATAAGGCACTACCGAATACATTGAGTAATATCACGTACCTCTTGGCGTGCTCAGTGTAAGTGACCTGATTTAACCAAATGAGCATGCTGCAATAAGCAGAACGACTGATTTCCAACGTACAGAGTCACGGATAACCTGAGAGGATGGGAATATAAGAACGAGATGATCACTAGTCAACGTCACACGTACATTCTCCAAGAAGATCTTGAGGACACCACGGGTCTCCTCATAGATGAGACCCGAGATACGCTTGACACCGCCACGACGAGCCAGACGACGAATGGCCTGGAGTTGTGCAATAAGTAACTCGAACTACGATGACATCCAATGGTGCACACGCACAGGCTTAGTGATTCCCTGAATATTGTCACGCAGGATCTTGCGATGACGCTTAGCTCCTCCCCTATCGTTGTCGTAAGCATAAGCTTGATATCACGGTTCTCTCTCGTCTAGTCTAGATAAAGAACACGGTGCGTACTTTCCAAGACCCTTTCCACCCTTTCCACGTCCAGACATAGTTGATACGGTTTATGGGATTGTGGGAGAGGTCGAAAGTACAGCTGAGGAGATCGGATGGTGAAGGCTGAGAGTAAAGAACAATCGAAGTCCACCCAAAGCAATTAAGCAGCTCAACAAAGGTGACGCGTAGCACGTGATTTTGTTTGTGGACGCGTCGAAACTGAGCGCTTACGTAGCCTTCCACTCCATTGAAACAACGCTGTTTAGCCAGTAACATATGGAGACAAAGTGTTTATTCTCTGAATACCGTCAAGTGGAAACTTTCGGACCCGACCAAGAGTATGAATCTGAAGAAGAGGTAGTGTACGTAACTCTCGACCTCGGGACGATCGAACCTACTCTCGTACCAAGTAGCTCAACTTACTGCTTGATTGTAAGAGCAACAACTGTCTTCCTTGTGTTTATGTATCTGTATCTCACATTAACAAGAATTCATACTGCAGGGTCTAGACACTCCGACGCCTTTCCTGCAGCTGTCTGGTACAATCTTCAAGGGACAACATCAGAGACTGTTAGGGACGGAGTTGCTGTTCGCCGATTCTAAGGGTGCGTCTATTTGACGTTCGGCTGCGGGTTCTGAATATCTCATTAATTATTTCCAGAGGAACATCATGACCGTAATCGGAAGCCGCTGGAGCACGTGGGCATCACAGAGCAACGGATCCGATTTAAGGAGGTAGAGCTCCGAGAGAAGGTCACCGGGAGTTCTGATGTTGCAGACACAGCGCAAACTACCACCAAGGGCAAGAGCAAGCGCCACAGAGCTCCCGAATCAGTGGAAGAAGTAACCGGAAGCAGCTCATTCCACACTGTGACTCGTACTCGCGGTGGGCGCGGAGGCAAGGCTTCAAAAACGAAAGATAAAGGGAAGGGGAAAGAACGTCCGGACCGCCCCCCACAAGAATCTGACGACGACGATAATATTCTGACTGTCAGGGAAGCAGACGGAATTGCGGCCGCACAGGATGCGATGGACGCTGCGACTGACAGTGTAGCTCATGTCCGTGGATCCGGCGACGGCCAAATGGCGGGAGCACAAGAGCATATAACGCGATCGATGCTTGATGATGATGGCGATGGGGAGCAAATTGTGCCAATGGACGTAGACGATCAAGCTGGGCAAGAGACGTCTTAAGTGAGCGAATTGGCACGTATTTGCATTATCAAAAGACTGATTGTAAAGCCTCCAAGTACAGATTCGTTGGTTCTCATAGAATGCTGTGCACGGACTGTATGTAATACTGTAACGAATGTTAGGGGCGAGGGTTTCTCGCTATCTCTCAGAGTGTATGCCTCATATACGGCTCCTTATCACATAAGTATATGCTTAGCCATATTCCAGGGATGATATAGGGATGATACAATCATGTATGTCCTGAGCTCGAATCTACAGAGGGGAGCGCCACTATCCAGTACGCGAACTTGACAATCGGACATCAATTTCACGTCTATTAGATTTTGAATTGATTGCGATAAGTATCTGAGGTCGGCAAGAAATCTCCCTTGTGCATAACAGACATTGTTTGCAGTTAGAGGTGCCTTCTTATATTAGAACTCGTTGGTCGCGGAAGCCTCCGCGACGGCAGACTTCAAGGCATGGATGTCGTGCGAACGGACGAAGGCGCTGAATCTTAATATTCCACCCTTCCACTAGCAACTTGAACAGCAACTAGCCATCAAACTGAATCTGCCTGTTGCACAATTGAAAGTTTACGGAGACTGTGATGGTGAGCATTGACAGCCTTTGATAAGTAGCATTGTCACGAAGACAATACACAAGGAAATGTCTAGAGGAAAAATCCAGGTTATGCTATCATGAGATTATTGACATTACCTCAAGATTATGTGATGACTAGATAATACATGATGAACCCAGCCAAGTCATTCAGGGCTGTATAATGGATTTGCATATCAAATAGAACTAGATATGGAGACCCATGGGGTAACATCAGATGAGCCAGCAATCCCAGGTACCTATCAGGCTTATATGTCTGGCACTACTGGGGATGGACCCTGAATTTTGCACCAGCTTTCACTAAGTATCACCCAAGGCAGGAAGTCATGGGTACACCTTTCCTAGTGAGCCAAAGGAGCTGAATACTCATGCAGACATACATCAGGAAACCACTTCTTCCAGATTTTTCCATGCTTTTTGACTTTCTGTACAAAAAAGCATAAACGTAAATAAATAAATAATGCATATGATCAATAGAATTCAGTTCAAGGTGTGAAGAAAATTCCAAGCACAGAAAGCACTTCCAAAGCTGAAAAGCAATGTGTGTTTTCCTGATGTGCATGTATTTAATTTCAATGCTCCTCTTCACCTCTTCATCGTGCATCAAGATCAGATATGTGCAATCAACTTAATTCAACTGCAGTCAATCAGCGCTAGCTACTAGATATAACACAAAGGCTCGTCATCAACAAAGGGGAAATGAAGCAATATGCGGCTCACATCATCAGGAGATCATGTCGAATCATCATCAGGAGAGCCACTAGAGCCAGCAGCCATGGCATATAACTTTTCTCTGTCGCCGCTTTCGTCCACAAGAGCACGAAGAAGACTCTTCTCGTCCTTCAGCAGTATATCAGGTTTCCCAAACTCAACCTAATCACGCATCAGTATATGCTGCTCCATGAATCATACATAACGCTTACAATGCCGCCTGCGTCGAGCACCATCTGTAGACAATCAGGTGCTTGGTGATGCACGTATCAAACGCGACAATAGTTCGGCTCACAATCTTATCAGCATCCATGATCGTCTGTAGACGATGCGCAATGGTCAGAACCGTGACAACCCTTGTCTAGCTCTTTCCGCAGCGACTCTTGAATAACGGTATCCGTTGCATAATCTGCAGACACTTTGTCAATGATATCCTAGACAAATCTCGGCCAAGCTTCTCTCACCAATCGCAGATGTTGCTGAGAAACCATCAGTCAGTCTGTGTTCGCTGAATAGTGGGCCGTGACATACCTTCGTCCAGAATCAGCAGCTTCCTCTGACGCACGATCGCTCGTGCAAGCGCCAGGATCTGTCTCTGTCCTACCGATAAGTTGCTGCCACCACTGGAGATGTGTGTATCAAGAGTGATTCTATCTTCGCCAACATCTGTCTGGAGTGCAAACAAGCCAGCTGAACGGAGAGCGTCGTTCAGTACAACGTCATCATATTGCTCGAATGGATCCAGATTCTGGCGTAAGGTGCCACTTAGCAGCTCGGGCTGCGAGGCGTCAGCGATCGGTACGATGGGAGAGCTGCGATCTGCGCACCACTTGGGGAATGATGGTAACGTGCGACCTGAGTGCGTCTAGATTGATACTATCCGTCGGGAGGCCGTCATAGTACACTTTGCCTTCTGTGAAGATGCATCGCAGAAGGGCCAATGTCAGAGAACTCTGAAGATCAGGTCAATGACACGTCGCAGCCGATGATACGAAACGTACCTTTCCGCTACCCGTACGTCCCACTGGGTACTGACGTCAGCAGAGCGTAACATACTATACGTTTGCTACTCACCGATTCCGACACGCTCTCCGGACTTGATCTCGAAGGAGACTTCTTCCAAAATTCGTGGGCCATCCTGACAACTCTATGAGTTAGCGCACATTGAAGCTACGGGTCGTCTTACAGGAGAATAGCGTGCCGACAATTTTTCAACTTTCAGGTCACCGCTGGCCGGCCAATAAGCTGGAGGGATGCCGCTCTCAGTCGGCTTGGGCTCCTGCTCAATTTCCATGTATTGCTTTACGCGTTCAATACTGTACCCAGCGTGAGATATAGCAGGAATAGTTCAGATCAGCCATACCTATTGCCTAAACATGCAGGACCGTTAATCCCGATGCAAGTGATGCAAACATCTACTGACCAGCAACCTCAAGCATGTTATACATTCTGACGACGTAGAGGATTAAATTGCTAAACCCGACTACGTGATCATCAGCAATCGCTTTATCCCGGCATGCGGCGTTTACGGACCTGCCATGTTCAATGTGAAACCTGTGTCCGACGCGGAGGTGCCTCCGTAGACGAGATATGCCGCCAGACTCGATGAGAACATTGCACCAAGCAAATCGATGCGTATTGATATCCATCTGTAATCCTTAGCCAAACGAACCATCAAAATTGAACGACACATACCGATTCAGATTATAAAATGTCCTCGAGGCTCTGGTATACTTTTCGATACGCTTGAAAGACTCAGTCCTGAAAGAGTCCTGGGCACCGTAGGCTCTGATAGAGACTACAGGATGGTGCAATCAGGCCAGGTTGGGTCCTCTCGACAGTACCACGCACCTAGACCTGTAAAGGCAGCACCGAAAAGGCCCAGAACTGGAGCGCGAGCATTGCTCCTCTCACGCTTCACAGATAATTGGGCCTTCATGTATACCCGACCAATCCATGCTCCCGCCGTAACGAGGAAGGCCCCAGGAATCGTGAAGATCGGGGACATAGCAATGACAGCGACCAGCTTGAGCAACATGGACATTACCAAGCTGATGAGTGCACCCGTGAATCTCCCGACGGTCGTATCAACTAGACAATGGGGCTACGTCAGCGATGCAAGTACTATCAAACATCAAGCACACTGCGTACTTGAATCAATGTCTTGTGTACACCTTGTTAGTATACGCGAAGCGGGAGTCTTGTCGAGCCATCTATAATATTTTAGAGACCACTGCAGTCTTTCTTGTCGAAGATGTTACCTCAGCGTCGTTCCCAGCACAGAAGTAATCAACTCCTTGTGGATTTTTCTCGATGCTCGCTGCGTTCCAGTGGTATGGATAAGAGCAAATGAGGCATAGGTAAACGCAGAGAGCAGAATAATGATTGCGTAGAATCCAATGTATCTGGAGAATGACCTTATAAGCATGCTTTCTGTCACAGTAGCAGGTGAGATTTCACAAAGCAGTGTTAACTTGCGAAGCATCGTGCTGTTCGTACTGTTTCGCCCAATACCCAAGGTACCATACCTGAGCGTTATCGGTGAACTCAGTAATGGTGCAAATGCCCATGAAGGCAGTCCAGAACAGTACACGATGCTCTCCTCCCCAGCTTGCAAGGTAGAGTTTCACTGCGACGCCGTCAACATGGTAAAACTTGAAACGAGCAGATTCACGCACTCGCCGGCCATCCTACTTGTCCCACGGCAATCTCCTCCGCCACAACAAGCTTTCCTGCCGCTTTCTTCGCCTCCGTGTCTTGTTCGTCCTCCTGGATATCCATCTCAGCCTTCTCAAGAGCTTCGCGCTCATCTGCAACCTCCGCAGCAAGCTTCTGGTCATGTTCAAGAGCGCTGGACAGCGAACCCTGGCTGGAGATTCGGCCCGCGGCGAGTGACACAACAAACTGCGAAATAGGGCTGGCCATGGTGACATTGTGCGTCTGGACGTATCGAATGAACGAAGCCGGTTTATTTTTGGAGCAGAAGTACCCACAACTAATAGAACGGTTCGGCCCCGAATGAGGTCCCCCTTGAAGCACTTGTCGATGATCAACTTCGCAGTATGAACATCGAGTGCGGCCAGCACCTAGTTGTGTTGCATAAAGTGAGACGGACAGAACCAGACAAGATGCAGGTAATACTTACATCATCAAGGAGGAGGATCTCTGCAGAGGAATAGACAGCACGCGCGAGAGTTATCCGGGCCTGAGCATGAATATCAGTTAGTGTCAAACACACATCTTATAGCACGTTCATACCTTCTGACCGCCACTAATGGACAATAATTAATCACGCACAGGAGCAACTCTACGAGAGACGTACCTCAAGGTAATGCCCTTCTCTCCAACCTCAGTCTGATCCCCGGCATCGAATAATTCGAGGTCGCGCTTCAAGCCACACTGTGTGATCACTAAAACACGTCGGAAAAGAAGCCGCTTAGAGCCTACTCATAAAAATTCACCCTTGTCGTATCGCTCTTCGTCATACGGAGCCCCAAAGAGGATGTTATCCTGAAAGCGAGAGTCTCAGCGCAAACTGCCATCAAGTCTACATACCACTCACTCTGATCGTCTCATTCTGCACCCACGACTCCTGCGCGGCATAAGCAATCCCACCCGCCCGCGGGAGATTGTAGAACGAATCTGGGCCCGCTGGTAGGTGGTGCATCTCTCCTGCTCGCCACAAAAAC